TGGCGAATCTATGCAGCCTTTCAGTTTCTCCATTTCATGAATATAATCTGCTACAGTTTCTCCGCATTGCTGTTTCCTTCTACATAGTTCTCGTATATAATCAACAATAGTTTCATGACCAAATTCGACTTTAAAGGCAGTTTCCAGTTCTTTAAGATCCATTTTTATCGTTCTAGGAACTGATTGAAACCACACTGATGCTCTGTTTGCCATCACTAAAGAAAGGAATCAATCTTGCTTTGCTTTGTTACATTTAATATTTCACATGCAATTTCAGACTTCTGTAACCATTCGTTGAATTTTCATGTCCTTCATCTTTAGAAAAACCCATTCGGGGTCTTCAATCGCTCTCGCATTGGTCATACCTTTTTAACTCATATTTTCATTTTGAAGCGAGAGCCTCAACCGGAATGTGTTCACTGTCATGTTCCTTTGACAGTGAGACACATCTTGATTGAGTGCAAACATCTCAAGTACATTAGATCTAAATACTACCGTTGCCAGACAGTGCGTCAGCTATTTCCTCAACCGGAGCTATATGATAAAGTGCTAACATTTTTTAAAAGAGACAAACTTTTATTCTCAATTTTAATTGTTTATATTTAATCATGTATATCTTTTTAAATATTTATATATGTAAAAGATTTGTTATATTTATTTTTAATTAATATATTTTCTGTGATATTTGTTTTTATTTACATATATAAATTCATTTATGTGATATCGTTTTAATTTGTTTCGTTAGATTCACCATATGTTTGGCGCAATATAGCCCGGTTGGAGCTGACGTGCCATAAAACCATATTTCATTCATTCATTCGAGGTCTTCAAACAGGTCTTGTTATTCTGGTTCTTTGTATTATTTCGATCATCTACGTCATCAGCCAGTTGTATATATATATACAATAATGACCAAGAGGCTAAGTTTGTCTGCCATATCACTTATGTGGAAGCAGACGTTAAACACCAAGAACTACTACTAAGAGGCTAAGTGGCTTAATACGGAACAGCATCTAAAACCTAACCTATCGGGAGACCTATCCTTCAGCATATCTTCGTGCCTGCCTGGGGTCAACTGCCTTTTCTAATGTACATTGTACAATTCTCCGGCCTTATATACCTTTAGCTTTGGTTCTAGCTTTATAAGCCTTAATACATTAGATAATAATATATGAAACAATGTCTCTCTAGTATAATTACAGAGTTGACATTATTACGCTTCAGGCTAATCTGTAATGGCTGGGACCTCAATTCAATTATGCTCTAATTCTACCTATTTTACTAAAACCCTCTCTCTCTACTCATATTCTGGTTGAGTGCAAGTTTCCCAAGAACATAAGATCAAAACATTTAAATCAATTGTTTGCTCAACCGGGTCTATATTTTAAATTACTAGACTATTTAAAAGAGACAAATTTTTAAAGACAATTTTAATTGTAAATCTGTATATCATCTTGTTCATTTTTAAATATTTGTACGTGTACATGAAGTTGTGATTTTTATTTTTAATCGTTTAGTATACTTTGATATTTGTTTTTATTTGTGTACATGAATATTTTATGTGATATCTATGGAAGGATATCGCTGCCAATATTAAATGCTCTGCAACAATGTCGTTTCCATTGATTATATGTAAAAAGTACAATGTACAAAGTCCTAATACCGATATTGATAAAGTCAAAATACCTCTAAGGCAAGAGTTAAATGTAAAACGTCAAATGTTAAGTGTTTAATGACAAATGTTTTGTGGGAAAATGCTTTTTTTGACGTGTCTACATTTTACATTTCTCTCATAACATTTTACAGTTGCGCTTTGCCACATCCCATTTGTCCTTCGCGCTTTCTACATCGCAACTTTCGCACAGCATCATCTTGCATATGCAAATGTAGGATATCACGTGTCTTATTAACATATATGGAAACCCGGCACAAGCACACTATAAGGATATTCACCGCACGACAAAAGAAATCAAGCTGGCACACCATAAGAAACTATCTAGACGACCGTGCGTAATTTTGAATGTGCCAGGAAATAATTGATAGATTCAAGCAGCCAAAGAAACATACTTTCCAGTAATTTATAACACAATAACTGGAATTTCGTATTAATACCCGTATTTTTATATTTTAAACACCCCCACTCTTTCCGGTCTCTCTATAAACAGAGTTGAGTAGCCTACTTTGATCCATTAAAAAAACAACAATATAAATAAGCATTGTGCCCAACAAATAAATAATATATTTAAAGAGAGGAATGGCCATACATCTTTTAGTATGGACATAGAGAATTTTTGATTAAGCCCTGTATCTTTATTTTCGTTTAGTTTAGCCCCCCCCCCCCTTCCTTCACTTCAACTTTAATCTTATTTTGTAAAGTTAAGCAAATATGAATGTGCCAGAAAATTATTTGAAAAGTGCAATCAGTGATACTTAACATGGTATCTGGAATTTGGTATTTAGACCAGTATTTTTACTTGAATACCCCTTTAATAGTGTGATATTTATTGGATTGAAATTATGAAAATACGATTGTACCAGAAAACTATTTACATATTTACAAATAGAAATGAATGTGATTTTCACTAATATGTAACATGATACCTGAAATTTCGTATTTGAACATTGCACAGTCCCCCCCCCCCCCGTAATCATCATAAAGTGCCATCCAAAGTGTCAAGGTGAGTAAATTTTTATTGTGTGCTAGGCTGATTTCCTGTTATAGTGTCGTGAATATCCTTGTTCTGGCTTATAGTGTGCCAGGTTTCCGTATATGTTAATAAGTCACGTGATATCCTACATTTGCATATGCAAGTTGATGCTGTGCGAAACATGCTATGTAGAATGCGTGAAGGACAAATGGGATGTGGCAAAGCGCAACTGTAAAATGTAATGAGAGAAATGAAAAAAGTAGATGTTAGGCGCAATCTTCACCCCTCGCGCAGATTGCAATCAGCTTATGAAGCTGGCGCGCAGATTGCCAACTTTGCGCTGATTACCCCACGATGTTTTCAGAGATATTGTAGTGTGTCAGACGCAACTATATATTATATTATATATGACCTGCCTCCTGTGGTCTTTGTAGTGAAATAATTTTCAAAATCACTGCATAATTATCGTGTGTGCTTAGAAAATAAGATTTTTAATTCTAGTCAGCAGTATCTCATAATCGGTGCTGACCACGTGACTAAACGTCAAAAATATTTGCTGTAGTGTAATAATAGTTTGACCGATCGTAGTTACTTTAGTAACGAAGTCTTAGAGACCCGTATGTAGGTTCACAAAGTATGTCATGTAGACCTCTCGACGGAAACTGCTTTATAACTCAAAAGCCCTTCTACTACTTCCTCTTTTCTGGTAGTCAAATGCGGTGATACTTTTCTTTCTGTATCGATTTGCTCGACCAGTAAACTGACGGTCACAAAATTCATTAAAATGTAATCATAAAAATGACTAATACTAACGCACTGATCCATAGTGAATACCGAGTAAGATTAGGCGGAATATCATCGCGGTAATCCATTTTAGTCCGGACAAAGTTCACTTCGCGCGCGCAGATTACTCATCGGAAATTAGACGGAGATTCGCGCATGCGCGGGAGTAATCTGTCCGAGGAGGGTAATCTGCGCTCAACATAGACACGTCCAAAAAAGCATTTTCCCACAAAACATCTGTCATTTAACACTTGACATTTAACTCTTGCCTTAGAGGTATTTTGACTTTATCATTACCGGTATTATGACTTTGTACTTTTTACATATAATCAATAGAAAAGACATTGTAGCATAGCATTTAATATTGGCAGCGATACCCTTCCATAGAATATTACCAACCGAATTCCATATTTAGTTAATGGTAGAGTTTCACATTTACGGATTGCCAAAAAAACCTGATGTGGATATTGTACACAATCCAGAATTTGAGAGTTTTAAACATGTTCTTGATGGTCAGATGAAGAAACTAAATAACATTGGCCTTTCAAAGTTCGTTGACCGCATAGTTTAACTACATTTTACAAAAAAATGAATAAAATGTTAAAAGATCGAATTGGTGTCCTTTTTCATTGCATAATCCGTAAACCTGTTATGACATCAGAGTGGGGATCACGTGGCTAAATGGGTAAAACGCTGGCTCACTAGCCCGGAGGTCGGGTGTTCGATCCCTGCATTGGCCGAGAAAGTTCATCCAGGTTTTCCGGCGTGGTTTCCCCTTGTCAGTGATGCAGGACGGAGGGCCTGACAAGGGCAGCTGTCTAGTCGCTCGGATGGGACGAAAAAAACGAAGCCCCGTGTACACATTGGCGTGCACGTAAAAGATCCCTTGGCAGTTGGAATTCGATGTAAGAGTAGGCCGTAGTGCCGCTGCCCGGGCAAAATTTCCCTCATAGCACAATGTATGGCGTATGCCCGTCTTCATTAGCCCAGTTTAGGTGTAGGACGTTAAACCCCATTTCATTTCAACGTCATCAGAGGGTGATATCTGCATGGGAGATCAAAGGAAATAACATCCCAAGGTGTGTAAGAGGGAAATAAATTGTCCGACAGCGGCACTAATGTACCCAAACGCTTCTCGTTTTCCTTTGTAATTGTGCGGGTCATTTTTAATAAATCTTTATTTACCTACAATATGTATTCTTTTTATAGAGGGTGTTAAATTGTATGCGTACTGCAAGTGGAAACTTGCTATGCCAATTATGCCCTTTAGAGGCGGAAACGCTCGATAAATACTTCTAAAAACCAAGCCGCGTATTCTATTCGGCATGAAAATTGGGCGTGCACGTACAATACCAGTGATAATATTTTCTCACGGCACACTGCGTGTCTTATTTCGGCCCTTATCATTCCAATTGGGCGTGACAAGGAATAGCGAATTATTGAAATATATTAGAACCGAAATGTCGTTAACTCTCTCTCCTCTCACAAAAGCGCGACGTTAAACATTTGATTTCATTTTCTCTAAATAAATATTGTTTAATAAAAGCAAGATATTTGATCGGACAAGAATTAAAGATAGCTGATAAAACAAAGGTAAAACAAATGATAAATCCTTGTTATTGACACACCGGTAGAATTGTTACCGGTTATTAATAAGAAGGAACAAAACTTTACTTACTGCCTCGTGAACTGTGGCAGCGAACCACGATACAAATCCAACGCCAAGGTAAGCCGTCAGCAACCACATCACCATCATCAACGTGTTCACCAGATTATTATTGCTGTTGATCAGTTGGTAGAGGTTAAAACAAGCCAGGAAGATGTATATAGTTAACAAATTCACCAACAGCATTCTCATAGGACGATCTAGAATGTCCACGAGATGACACAACTCCAAATGTTGTCGTCGAAGCTGCTCCAGGTTTGCTGGGAACTTGGTAGGATTGGTTTTGATTGCACAGCTTAAGTTTTTGGAATGGAGATAAAATGCACCCGTGATACTTTTACTACAGATCAACACAAGAGGGATGCAGAAAGCCCAAATGGCAGAAAAGTATGCATGCATAACTAAGAGTATACATCTCCACGCTGAGTTATCCGGTAATGGGTTTGTAAAGGATTTGATAAAGTCGGTGTTAAGAATGAAAACCATTAGGAAAATTCCAACAACGTTAAAAATCCAGAATCCCCACGCACAAATTATGCATATAACAGAATATCGACGCAGGTTTTTTACCAGGAGACCAAGACCTACGCAATGTGTGTTTTGCATGGCTTTGTTCCAGAATTTGTAAAAGTCAGTCCATGTTCCACTGTGGCAGTTGAACACTATAATGGCAGTGCTGAAGAGGCCTTGAAAAAACCAGCAAAGGTTAATAACTTTCGGCACTGTGTAACCAGGGACAAACGAAGCACCTGTCCAAAATCCTGGAATATATCGCAAAGTACTGACAGTAAGACAGCATAAAACAGACCAACAGTATATCTTCTTGAATTTATTAGCGTGGTTTTTCTTTTCGACATCGCATCCGCTCCCATCTGTGGTTTTCTTTGTGCCTATCTTGTTGTCGGTTTGATTATAAAACAGACCGAACAGTTCCAAAGATACCAAAACTGGTTTCATAACGTTTTGAATTCTGCTTATTCCTGAAGACTTAACACATTTATCTGTATCCATCCTCGTATTGTGGAAACTGTATCTGTAGAGGGAAAACCGTCTTCTACCAATGTATGGCTCCTGTATCGCAATACAATACCGATTAATAATCAATCAATTAAAGCACCTTGGCTTTTATTCGTAGATCGACTATAAACAGAGAAAGGGCGATAACTAGGTGAAGAGTCAATCATTTATCACATAATCTTATGTAAAGTAATAAGAGAAGTAAGGGAATACAGACTTGAAAAAAATGGGCGGGGCAACATTCCGTAACCACACCCTCTCGGTGTAAAACATTCCAAGTTTATATGCAGTTTTGTTAATACATCACCAACCCACCCATCCCCTAACACTTATGGATATGCAATCAATAAATTGAAAATGTAGTTAAATGTGTATCCATTTCTATGTAGATGAAACGGATACTATATTTCAATATAACTTAATGATTGTAAATAACATGGACAATTAACCCGAATCACAATGGTGTTTTTAAAGTCTGTTTCTCTAAGTGCTGTACAAATATTTGAACCGAGACCACTTCCTGAGATTAATGGTAAACACTAATGGATAATATCTAAAGTTGGGTTAAACATTAAACTGGTGAGGAAGTAGTACAAATATTCTTATCTGTATAATGCGTGTTCAGATCAACACTATAATCATCCGGGGTTATGGACGATGGATTGTATGTTCAATCTAGATCGAGGTGTAATATCGAACACCAATAATTAATAATTCACTTTTTCGTCGTATACTTCTATATTCTGGTAACAACATTTATAACAATAATAATATATACTGGGGTACCAGGGTATACATATGGTACCCTGCCCTTTTCTGGGGTATACATGTATACCCATGCCCTAATGATGAAAGTTTTCAATCTTTTTACTAGTCTATTCATTTTTAAATGATAGATATGTAATTGATCTCTGGTCGGTCGCGAACCGGCGCTCGCAATCTCATTATCAGCTATCAGTGGTTAATCGGGTTCATGAATGATAAAGGTGCTTAACACCGGCGCGTCGAATTACCCAATAACTCCAAAATAACACCCAATAACTCCAAAATGTTGACTTTGGAAACACAAAATAACAATTTAGTTGAATTTAAGAAGCATCGCTGCTCTGTGTCCAAATCGGAGTTTCACGCTCACTCGCCTGAAGGGAGATAACTCGTGTATGTGATTTTTGTGTACAAGAAATTAATGTATGCTTTCGTTGCAATTCATTTCAACCCCTCCATGGGTATCGTCAGGCGGTAGCAATAACAAAACGTTATTACAGATGTCCCCGCTATAGTTTTTCATGAAATTCAAATTAACTTCCAATAATTTAGCGCAAAAATGCGCTACCCGACGACATAACGATTAGTCTGTAAAGAAATTCTAATTAACTGCCAAACATTCTACGCACAAAGGCGCTACCTGACGAGATACTTGGCTGTTAATTTTAATTCCTTTACAAACCAATGTTTTATAAAAAAAAAAACATACACATATTTAAAAATGTTTCATATGAAAATATTATAAAGATAACAAAATAATTAGTCTGTAAAGGAATTCTAATTAACTGCCAAACATTCTACGCACAAAGGCGCTACCTGACGAGATAACGAGATACCTGGCGGTTAATTTTAATTCCTTTCCAAACCAATATTTTATTAAAACATTTAAACCTGTTTCATATGAAATATTTTATTAAAACTAACATAGCCATTCAATGAGTTTTTTCTGCGCGCCTTCGTTTACGTTACCCTGATTTTTTGCCAGACGTTTCTTTGGGCTTTACGCACCCGAAATGAACATTTTTTGAATTAACAATATTTACATTATATACATTTTTCTTCTTCATTAAATATTTATTCAACATGCGAGTTTTCTTGTCCGCTTCCATACAAGCCCATGTTTCAGGACGGATCTCAGATTTGTGGTCTACAAGATGCCAATTGCCTGTCCCGTGTAAAGCCCGACGTATGTTGAGAATTTGAAATGTTGACACTCTAGCCAATTTTGTAACAAGGTCAGGTAAATTCTGAATATGCCAATCGGTTTCTTGTTTCAGTCTATTATTAATTGATTCTGCGTCATTAGTCCATAAGTCTGTGATCAGTTTATTTTGGAGGGGCTTAATAACATATAATAACAATTTATGTTTTAGATATCTGTCCCAATATTGTTCAAATCTAGGATATTTTTCAAAATAAACAGAAAAATCATCTTTTTTCATTTTAAAATCCATGTCATTTTTCGAATATACAATTCCTTCCTTACCAAAAATTAAATTTCTTATAATTGAGCGTTCTTTTTGTGGTGTTCCCGATTTCTCTAAATATCGATATAAATTTTCCTTAATGTGTTTTGTACAAAGTAAGAAATTAGAATTTTGGAATACTTCATACAAAGATTTAGTCATAGATTTTTCTTCGTCGGTACCAAATATTATTTTATCACTACCTAACTGGGAACGAAAATGTGAAAAGAAATAGTGATAGATTGGTGCTTCGCCATCCCAATGGAGCATCATGGGGCCAAGCATTATGGGGTTTTGATTCGTTTCGCGATTAATAACAGCTTGGTTTTTATAAGACAACTCCCCCTGGTAGGCAGGGAAGTAACCTGGGGGACGACGAGGGGTGAATCAAAAAAAATATTTATGGATTCCCCAATCCCCAATAAATAACAAACAGAAACGTCCGAATACAGAGGACGTTTCTAACTTATTTAACAACCCAAAGAAAAGTTTAAAAGCATGGCCGAGGTTTCTCTTAAAAGAGAGTCCCTCTAAAGACCTTTCAAAAGTTTCACCATTTTTAATATCCAAGGGCATTGCTGGCTTGGCCGGTGAGCCCAAGGCTATTAAAAAAACTAAAAAATGGAACTTTCTTGATAGAATGTTCTAAGGAACAGCATGCTACAATGCTGCTTAAATCCACATCCTTGGCAGACATTCCTATCAAGGTGTCACCACATATGTTATTGAACTCCAGTAGAGGTGCAATTCGCTGTCGGGATCTTGAAGGCAGCAGTGAGGAAGAAATGGTAGAATACCTTTCTTCTCAAGGTGTGTCACATGTAAAAAGAATCAGTGTACGCCGAGGAGAAAAGGTGATTCCTACAAGCACCTATATTCTCACGTTCAATCGTCCCGACATTCCTAAGACTCTCAAGGCAGGTTATCTTAACATACCTGTTGATTCTTACATCAGTAACCCACTTCGATGTTACAAATGTCAGAAATTTGGACGTAGCAAGACCGTCTGTAGAGGTAAGGATACCTGCGCTCGTTGTGGTCATGATGACCACGAGAGCGCTACCTGCCAGGCGGAATTGTGTTGTATCAATTGCAAGGGTAAGCACTTTGCTTACTCTCGCGAATGTCCAATATGGCAAAAAGAAAAAAGAATTCAACAGGTAATGTCTGAGCGCAAAATATCATTATGATGCTAGAAAGCAAGTAGATCTTACTGCGCTATTTCCCGTTCCATCCCAAGGGAAATCTTTTGCAGGCGCAGTAAAAGTATCTACCAGAAGCATCTCTGTTCAGACAGATTTGACCTGGCCTAGAAAAGAGAAAATGCCTAAAACAATATCAGATCATAATAAAGGGGTATCGAGCTCCTCTCAAACAAGTGAGAGCTCGATCAAGATAACTAATTCTTTGCCAGGCGAGGGTTCATCTTCCTTGCCTCCATTTGAAGCTGTTGGGATTATTCCCAACACTTCGTCCCAGAACGGCAAGGGGTCAACCCCCTCGCCTTCTCCTGAAGCTGTCACTGTTGATTCCAGTTCTACTGGTTCGGGATCGCAGCCAAAGGGTATTCCCCCAACACAAGTAATTCTCTCGAAAAGAGAGAAAAAACTGGCAAAGATGCGTGAGAGAGAGAAAAGGGGTTCACAAAACCCTATCTCTCTCTACAATCGATATGGGGATGATCTGATGGACGGTGTTACCGTAGAGGTCCATAAGGACCCCGTCGGTAAACCGCCAAAAATTAAATATCCCTGACAATGGCTAATTCCATTATTCAATGGAATTGTCGTGGTTTAAAACCAAATTTTAATGAAGTTCAATTATTAATTCAAAAATACAATCCTTTAGCTATTTGTTTACAGGAAACTTTCTTAAAGAATTCTGACACTTTGTCTTTTAGACAATTTGTTGGTTACCATCATCACGCAGTTGGTGATGGTAGAGCTCATGGGGGTGTTTCTATTATTCTTAATGGAGATATCCCTCAAAGTCAAGTCACCCTCAACTCGCCTTTACAGGCAGTTGCAGTTAGGGTGACTTTGCATATTCCTATAACACTCTGCTCTGTATATCTTCCACCAAGTTTACATCTTAATCCCAGAGATCTTGATGACCTTGTTGCATAACTTCCTCTCCCGTTTATTATTACGGGAGATTTCAATGGTCATCATTCACTCTGGGGTAGTCCAGATGATAACAACAGAGGTAAACAAATAGCGGACTTCATTAACCTTAATAATTTGTGTTTATTAAATGACGACTCGCCTACTTATCTACATCCTGCCACAGCTTCCTTTTCTTCCCTAGATCTCACCATTTGCTCTCCGGTCCTGTTTCAGGATTTTACATGGAGAGTAAATGAAGATCTATGTGGTAGTGACCACTTTCCTATCTTGATTGATAATAATGATCCCTCTCCGGTCGAAAGACGTCAGAGGTGGAAGGTGCATAAAGCTGATTGGGCTCTGTTTGAATCTTTGTGTCTCTTCTCTTTTGATACAAAGGAGTTAGAAGATGCAGATGAGCCCATGGCCTTATTCACTT